ATTGGTAACTTTTTAGCCTTATTTCCAAAGAGAATTTATAGCTCTGTGAGTAATGCATCAATGTACATGTTTTCCCACAACTTTCCCACCATTTATAATTTTCCTTTTTTGTTAAATTTGCCAACATGCCGGTTATGAGGTAGAACCTAAAAATTGTTTGAATTTGCATTTCTCCAGTTGTTAGTGATTTGGAGCATTTTGTTTATATGACTACTGATAACTTTGTGTTTTTTCCTCTGAAAACTGCCTTTTCATAACCTTTGGCCATTTAACAAATGGGAATGTCTTTTCTTTTTCTTATAAATTTGAATCAATTCCCTATGCATTTTGAAATGAGACCTCTATCAGAGAAATTTGTTGAAAAAAATTTTCCCCAGTTATGTTTCCCTTTTTAATTTTATCTGCATATTATTTTGTTTGTGCAAAACCTTTTTAATTTTATATAGTCAAAATTGTCAATTTTATCTTCAGTCATATTCATTATCCTTTGAACTTTTTCCTTATCTATATATCTGAAAGATAATTTCTTCATTGCTCTTCAAATTTGTTTATAATATGATCTTTTATATCCAAGTGTTGTATCCATTTAGATGTTATCTTGGTGTAAGGTATGTGAGATGTTGGACTAAACCTAGTTTCTGCCAGACTGCTTTCCAGTTTTCCTAGAGGTTTTTGTTGAATTCTGAGTCCTTCTTTCAGTAACTGGGATCTGTGAGTTTATCAAACACTAGTCTACTGTGTTTGCGTGCTTCTGTGTGTTATATACTTAACTCTGTTCCACTGATCAACTTTTGTATTTCTTAATCATCACCAAATTGTTTTGATGATTATTGCTTTGTAGTAAAGTTTGACATCTGGTTTTGTTAGGTGCCTTTCCTTCACACTTTTTTTTCATGATTTCCCGTGAGATTTTGGCCTTTTCTTACTCCATATAAATTTCCTTACATTTTCTAGCTCTATTAAGTAAATCTTAGTTTAGTGTGATTGGTATGGTACTGAATAAATAAATTGATATGGGTGGAATTATAATTTTCATTGTATTAGTATAGTCTACCTATGAAAAAGTAATGTTTCTCCGGTTGTTTAGGTCTATATTTCTGTAAAGTATGTTTTGCAGTTGTATTCATGTATCTTCTATGTGTGTCCTTGAAGGTAGACTACCTTGGTGCACCAATATTTTAGGATTAAGATATTTAATTTCCAACCAATTTTTAACACTTTCTTCAATGGCCATTTAGAAAAGGATTCTAAGAGGCAGTCAGGTGGTACAGAGTTTAGAATGGTAGGCTTGAAGTCAGGAAGTCTAAATCTGGCCTCAGACATTATCTAGTTCTGTGACCCTGAACAAATCACTTACCTTCTTTCAGCTTCAATTTCCTTATCTGTTAAATGGGAATAATAATAGCACCTACCTATAGGGGTTGATGTGAAGATCAAAAGTGATTATGTGTGTGTGTGTGTGTGTGTGTGTGTGTGTGTGTGCTTTGCAAACCTTAAAGCATTATATAAATGTTAGATGTTATTATCATCATTATCATTGTTGTTGTTAGTTTTATTGTATTATGGCCAGTAAAAGATGTTTTAAATATATCTGTTCTTCTACATTTGTTTATGAGGTTTTTATACCAATTTTCTGGCCAATTTTTGTGAAGGTACCATGCAGTTCTGAAATTATGTGTTCTCCTTTCTATTCCCATTCAGTAATCACCAGGAAGCTATCATATCTAACTTTTCTAAAATTCTATTCAGGTGCTTAACCTCTTTTCTTGTTTTTTTATTAGATATTTTTCTAGGTCTGACAAAGGTTCATAAAGGTTTCTCCCCCCCCACCTGTTATAGATTTATTGTCTATTTTCCTTTGTTACTCATTTAACTTTTCCTTAAAGTATTTAGATGCTATGCTATATTGGGGAATGTGTTAAATACTGATATTAATTAATTATCCATAATTCCTTTAAGCATAATGTGGTTTCCCTATTGATTTCTTTTAACCAAATCTAATTTTACTTTTTCCTCATCCAAAGTCATGACTGTTACTCTTGCTTTTTTTTTTACTTTAGCTGAAGAATGATAGATTTTGCTGTAGTCCTTTATCTTAACTCTGTGTTCATCTTAAGTTCACATATATTTCTTGTAAGCAACATATTGTTAGGTTCTTTCTTTTTTAATCCATTCTGCTATCTTCTCTTTTTTTGGATGAGTTCATTCCATTCATGTGTACAGTTGTGACTGTTAATAGTGTATTTCTCAATACCCTATTTTCTTATACTTTTCATCCTTTTTAATTCTTGCCCTTCTCTTCATAAAGAGGAGTGGTAAAGTAATAGTGATCTCTGCTTCATGCAGCGAACTTCTATTCCCCTTCCTTTCTTCTCTTCCCTTTACTCAAACACCAAAATAGATTCTTATTCTTTCTTTTCTTTGCAACCCCCTGAATGATTCAACCCACGAGATTAGAGTTTTAGTTTAAGAGTAATCCCTCCCGATTTCACCCCCCTCTAATTATTATATAATAATAGTAATTATTATATACCTAATTATTACCCTCCCTTCTCTCTATTCCTTTCAATTTCCCTGTTGTATTTGTATAAAATGTATTTCCACATAAAACTCTATGTGTAGACATGTTCTCCTATCCTTTGATCAGTTCAAATAAAAGTGAGGTTCAAGTGACACTTTGCAAGCCTCACTCCTTTCTGCTTGTTTTATAGTCTTTGACTTGTTGCCCCAGATTGCATGAGACAGTAAGAGAGTGAGAAAGTGGCCCTGGCAGGCCAAAACACAAGGGCTAGGATGGGGGGTGGAGGTAAAGTTATAGGCCATGATAGAAGGTGGGGAAAGAGGAGGAATAGATCAGTTATCCTCAGTTCACAGCTCTAAATGCACAGAAGATATATAATAAATATAGAACTTTATCTTGAAAAAGACCTGGTTTGCTTGTGGAATTGGATGTTGGAAAGGATGCAGCCTGTGAGTTATTATGAAGTGGTTCAACTTTCTGTGTTCTCTCACCATTTCTCTTGAATGTAATCTCACATAAATAAACACAAAATTTGTTATTCTCAAAATGTTCTTAATACATCAATTGTGTTTGAACAAATTTGCATTTTCAAAACAAATGTTTAGCAGAACTGACTAAACTCATATGTTTTTAGCTTTTCATGTTTCTCTTGATTGTTATGTTTACATTTCAATAATTTTACTTATTACTGCTCTTTTCATCAGCAATGCTAGGAAGGCTTCTATTTCATTAATGGTCCCTTTTATCTTTTGTAGTTTAATACTCAGCTTTGTTGGGCAAATTAGTTTTAGTTGTAATCCCATGTTTTTTTGCCTTTTGGAATATCATATTTCAAGCTCTCTTCTTCTTTATAGTAGTTTCTATAGTTGTCAAATTTTGTGTTCTTCTCACTGTTACTCCTTGATATTCTTTTTTTTCCTGGATGTTTAGTGGTTTTTTTTTTTTAATTTGACCTGGAAGCTCTGGATTTTGGCTTTGCTATTCCTTGGAATTTTCATTTTTGGGTTTCAGGAAGTGAATAGTAGATTCTTTCTATTTTCTCTTTACTTTCTCATTCTAATATATCTGGGGACTTTTCATTTATGATTTCTTGAAATATGGCATCCAGGTTCTTTTTTTTTTTGGTCTTGACTTTTTGGGCAACCCAATGATTCTTTGATTTTTCTCTTTGACCTGTTTTCTAGGTAATTTTAAAAAAAATATGAGATGTGTTATATTTTCTTCTATTTTTCAGTCTCTTGATGTTGTTTTAATGTTTCTTGATGTCTTGTGGAGCCATTAACTTTGGTATGGCTCATTCTAATTTTTAAGAGATTTACCTGGGTCAAGTTTTTGTACTTCTTTTAATAAATTGTTAATTATCCTTCCAAGTCTTTATTTTAGTGCTCTCATTTCTTTTTCAATTCTTTCCTCACTAATAATAATAATAATAGCATTTATATAGCACTTTAAATTTTGCAAAGCACTTTGTAAAGATTATCTCATTTTATCCTTGCAGCAGTCCTAGCCCTATTATACTGATGAGGAAACTGTGGCAAACAGAGGTTAAGTGACTTGCCCAGGATAATATAGTTAGTAAGTATCTGAGACAGCATTTGAACTCAGGGCTTCCTGACTTCAAGACCAATGTTCTATTCATTGAACTACTTAACTGCCTCTGCAAGAGGTCTCATTTAATTTATAATACGATTTTTAAACTCTTACTTCATCTGTTCTAGGAATTCTAGTGAATCTTGTGGCTACCTGTGTTTTACTCAGAGGCTTTGCTTGTAGATGTTATAGAGATGTCCTATTTTTCTGGATTTGTTTCTGGAGTACCTCATACTCCATAATATCATGAGTATTGTTTCTATTATTCTTCCAAGCTAAATTAGGACTTTGTGTTAGTCTCAAGTTTATGCATTTCTAGAAGAAATGTTGGATCTTGTTTGACCCTGATCTGTATATTCTAGGATCTTGCTGCTTCTTTCTTTGAGACTGAGTGCTTTGTTCATCAAGTATCCCAGGAGCTGAGTGCTCAGTCTGTGAACTTTCAAACTTTCAGTGTTCCCTAAGAAGTTTTGTCTAAAGCAAAGTCCAATAGCTGCTTTACTAGTCTGACCTTTGGAAACTCTAGATCTTGTTTGCTTCTGGGTGGCACTCCTGTAGACTTGGACTTGTTTGGAACTTCAGTAGATTGCTTCTGACTCTATCCTCTGTCAACTAGCTAGAAGGCTTTCCAGGTTTAGAGGGACAGAACTCTTGAACTGATCTCCTTTCCCTCCTTATTCAGCTTCAAGTCCCAACCCAGGTTTGTGGATTGAATCTACAAACCCTGATCTAGGGTCAGAGCCTAATCTCTCAGACCCAGTCCATGCTACATAACCTGGAGGGTTTCTTATGGGAGAAAAATAAATTAAGAAATAGTTTCAGCAGGACCTTTATTAAGAATTCTAATTGTATATGTAGCCAGGCTTCCAACCAAGTCTGGTGTGTTTTGTGTACCTGCATAACGGAATTATGAAGATGATGCCATTCATTTCTTCAGAAGAGGTAGGTGGACAGAGGACGCTCTATGAAGGCAGAGAGACTTGGAAATAGCATACATGCATGGAAAATTGGCCCCATCATATCTCTGAACTTGCTTGCTTCCCTAGAGGCTGCTACAATAGACTTCCTTGGTGATGTTGGATCCTCTTTCTTGATTTAGTATATTTGAATCTCCCGACTTTTCTGAATTGTGTTTCCTGTTTGCTTGAATAAATGAGTTTGTTCAGTATTCATTATTTGTGATGGTCTTTTCTTTCTTAATTTAATTTTTGGATGCTCTTTTCTGAAATAGTGTTTGGTGGGAAAGAAGTAAGGGATACTCCTTAAGGGTGACCAGAGAAGTGACTTTTCTCCTGAAAGAGATCTTTTCCTCTCTACCAATATCTGAGGGAGTACATAGAGATAATTCTAACCTTATATTCCTCTTGGAGGTAGGTGAGGAAGGAGCAAGTGCCCAGTGGTGGCTTTTCTTCAAGCTCCTCTTAAGGCAAAAATCACAGTCTCTCTTGGAGAAGGGCTGCCTCAGATCCATCCCACCCATGAGGTGCATCAATATATTTAGGTAACCTATTTGGATATACTTATCTTACATATGTACTTATATTGTAAATATTGCATTTTGTTATGTATATTATTATTTAGATGCACAGGAAATTCCAAGTCTCATATTCTTTCCAGGGTCACTATATATATATATATATATATATATATATATATATATATATATATATATACACACACACACACACACACACACACACACACACACACACACACACACACACACACACATATATATATATATACACATGTATTATAGATATACACATATATATATATACTATATATATACATACATATATATATACATTTTCAATCTTGCAAATTTCACTGTAGAAATGGCATAAAAATGACCTCTAACAATTTATTTTGTTAGCTTTAATTTGTTTTCCCCCCTAGACTAATAGGCCTTCAAAGGTCTATTTTTCTTTATTATCTTACAGCATAGTTTTCACTTATGTATGCTGAATTATCATGGTTTGCAGTCAACCTCAAATTTCTTTCAGATTATTATTTCCTCCCCAGGAATTATTAAAATAAAATCATAGAGATGACTTCCTTTGGTATGTTTGTTGCTTAGGTGAACACTCCTTAAATGTATACTTGAACATTTACTAATCTGTCACATAAATCTGAATTTATTATAGAGAACTCTTTACTAATGTTTTTTTTTTTTCATTTCCTGAAAAGGGAAGCTGATAGTGCCAAATTGGATTTCAAGGAATCTCTGCTGCTTTGCTTTCTATTGCTGATGATTAATTTGAGTAAAATTACTCACTATACCAGGGGTTCTTAACCTAGGTCTGTGAATATGGATGGGAAAAAATTACATTTTTATTTCAATAAAGGATTGGGTTTCCTTTGTAATCTTATGTATCTTATTTCATACTTTAAAAATATTATTCTGAAAAGAAGTTCATAGGCTTTACCAGAATGCCAAAGGAGTTCATGACACACAAAAAGGTTAACCCCAGTGTTAGGCAATTTCTCTATATTTTAAAAAGAATTTAATAGCTACTGGTTTTGTAACCAATGGCCAGGACCCTCCAAAGGCTAGGCTCAATGGACTAGGTTCAAATCCTGACCCCGACCCTATGGGGATCAATTTCCCTCTTTGTCTCATTTCCTTCATCAAGAGTTGCTCTATAACAATCTTCTAATGTACTCATGGCATAATAGCTCATTTTAATTCCTTTAGTCCCACATAGGCACTCAGGGTGTTAATGTGTACTAAGTACGAGGAAGCCTTTATTATTTTCTTATCAGAACTCTGTAGCACCCTTATTTTTTAAAATAAAAAAAAATTATTGACAAAAATCTATTTTCTCTCCCACTCAGCTCCCCTCTTGGGAAAAAAAGAAATATAATTCTTGTATATACAACAAACTCTTGTAATGAATTGCGTAGTCAAGCAAACAAATTCCTTCACTGACCATGTCCAAAAAATATGTCTCAGTTTATACAATGAATCCTTCCTTCTCTGTCAGGAAACAGTACTTTTTGTCATGAGACTTCTGTTATTGTGGTTGGTCATTAGATTGATCAAAATTCTTAAGTTTTTCTAACTTTTAAAAAATAATAATGTTGTTATTATATAAATTCTCTTAATTCTGTTCTCTTTACTCTGCTTCAGTTCATACAAGCTTTTCTAGGTTTCACTGAAACTTCCCCCATTCATAATTTCTTTCAGTATAATAGTATTCCATTGTATTCATATAGCATAATTTATTGAACCATTCCACAATTGATAGGTGTTCCCTCCCCTTAGTTTCTAGTCTTTACCATCATAAAATAAGAGCTGCCGTAAATATTTGTTACTATTGATCCTTTCCCTCTTTATTTGATTTCTTTGGGGGTATAAAGTTAGTAATGGAGTAAAAAGGTATTTTTTTTTCACAATTTAGTAACTTTTTGGCATAGTTCTGAATTGCTGTCCAGAATGGTTGGAGCAATTCATAGCTCTACCAAGCCCTGGCTCTGAGTTACAAAAACAGTAATTATTAAATTTCTATTTAAAGTATATATCGTTAATGTAATTGTTTTCTCACAGCTCCTCCAAAATTTGTCATTCTCGGTTTTTTTTTTTTTGGTCAACTTTGCTAATCTGATGCGTGTGAGGTAAAACCTCAAAGTTGCTTTAATTTTCATTTCTCTAATTGTTAGTGATGTAGTGATTTGTAGTTTTTTTAAAAAAATGTGCTACTGAAATATTTTTTTCCTCTGAAAACTACCTATTTGTTGAAGAATTGATCTTAGTCTTATAAACTTGAATCTGTTTCTTATATATCTTGGAAATAAAACCTTTATTAAAAAAACTTGTTGCAAAGGTTTTTTTTTTCCTTCAGTCACTTGCTTCCCTTCTAATTTTAGCTCCATTGGTTTTTTTTATGCAAAAACTTATAAATTTTATATGATTAAAGTTGTCTCTTTAATCTTGTGTGATCTTCATTATCACTTGTTTATTCATGAACTCTTTCCTTACCTGTAGATATCAAACACTGTTTCTTCCTTGCTCCTCTAATTTATCATGTAGCCTTTTAAATATAAGTCCTGTATCTATTTGATGCTTGTCTTGGTATATGATCAATGAATCAATCAATAAACATTTATTAAATGCTTACTATGTGCCAGACAGACACTGTGCTAAGTGCTGGAGATACAGACAGACAAAAGACATTTCCTGCTCTTGAGGAGCTTACAGTCTAGTGGAAGAGACAATATATAAACAAATATTTACAAAGCAAACTATACACAGGATAAATAGGAAATGATTAACAGAGGGAAGGCACTGGAATTAAGAGGTGTTGGGAAAGGTTTCCTGTAAAAGATTTTAATTGGAACTTAAAGGAATCCAGGGAGGTCAGTAGTCAGAGCTGAGGGAGAGAGTTCCAGGCATGGAGAATAGCAAGAGAAATGTTCTGGGGTGAAAGATAGAGTATCTTGTTTGTGGAACAGCCAGGAGGCCAGTGTCACTGGTTTAAGAAAACTGCAAAAGTAGGAGGGGGCTAGGTTATGAAGGGCTTTGAATGCCAAAAAGCATTTTGTATTTGTACCTGGAGGCAATTTATTGAGTAGTGAGGTGACATGACTGGACCTACACTTTAGAAAATCACTTTAGTGGCTGAGTGGAGGATGGATTGGAGTGGGGAGAGATTTGAGGGAGGCAAAATCATCATTATTACAATAATCAAGGCATGAGGTGATGAGGGCTTACATTAGTGTAGAGGCAGTGTCAGAGAAGAATAGGGGGTATGTTTGAGAGATGTTGCAAAGGTGAAATCTACAGGCTTTGTTAACAACATGGTTATGGGGCAGGAGGAAGGTGGTGGCAGTGAGAGATTAAGAGGAATCCAGGATGACTTCTTGATTGTGAGCTGAGGGACTGGTAGGGGGATGTTCCTCTCTACAGTAATAGAGAAGGTAGAAGAGGAGGAAAGTTAAGGAGGAGAGATAATGAGTTTGGTTTTATACATGTTTAGTTTAAAATGTCTACTAGACAATTAGTTTGAGAGGTCTGAAAGGAAGTTCAAGATGTGAGACTGAAAATTAACAAAGAGTTTGGGACACAATAGGTTGATATGAGAATCATTGTCATGGACATAGCAATTACATCTTTGGGAGCTGAGTAGATCACCAAATGGAATAGTGTAGGGGGAGAAGAGAAGAAGACAGAACCCTGAGGGACAACTGCAGTTAGAGGTTGTGATCTGGAAAAGAATCTAGCAAAGGAGACAGAGAAGGAGCAGTCAGACAGGTAGGAAAACCAGGAGAGAATGGTGTCCAGAAAACCTAGAGAGAAGAGATTATCAAGTAGGAAAAAAGGTCAACAGTATCAGAGGCTGCATACAGGTCAAGTAGAATAAGGATTGAGAAAAGGCAATTAGATTTGGCAATAAGAGATGAATGGAACTTTGGAGAGATCAGTTTCAATGGAATAAGATTGGAAACCAACTTATAAGGAGTTAAGAAGAGAGCGAGAGGAATGGAAGTGGAGGCATTTATTATAGATGGCTTTTTCAAGGACTAAGCTATAAAAATCAGAAATGATATAGGATGATAGCAGGGATGGAAGGACCTATTAAGGGCTTTTTCAGGATAGGGAAGACATAGACATGTGTGGCAGTAGGAAATAAGCCAGCTGAGCGAGAGAGACTGAAAATAAGTAAAAGAGTGGAGGTGACAGAAGGGGAAATCGCTTGGTGGAGAGGTGGAATGGGATCACCTGAGCCAGTAGAGAGGATAGCTTTGGTAGGGAGTAAGGCCACTTAATTTGAGACCGGGATGAAGGCAGCAAAGTGGCAGAAGGCATCTGAGTCATAGGAGTTGAGGAAGAGGGAAGAAGAGAGAGCTCGTGGTGAATGCCCTCATTTTTTTCTATAAAATATAAGGCAAAGAGGAGGGGACATGGGAGGTTTGAGGAGGGATGAAAAGGTTTGGAAGAGTCGCTGTGGAGAGTGGGATGTAGAGTTCTTAAGGGAGGTATGGCAGTATTGCCTTACTGCAATGAGGGCCAAGTTGAGGTTGTATAACATAAATTTGTAGTGGACCCAGTTAGAACAGTTGCATGATTTTTTTCCACCTTCATTCAGCAGCATGGGAGTGATCCAAGACTGAGGCTTAGCTGGGCACAAACAACATGATAAGGGGGCTAGATATTTGAGAGGAGCACAGTGTAGAGTTGAATTAGTTCACCAAGGAGTCAAGAAGGAGAGAAGAGGAGACAGTGCTTAGTTCAGGGGAGATAGCCAGGGAGAGGAATGAAGGGTCAAGGGATTAGAGGTCATGGTATGGAGGAAGGGTATGGTTTTGTAAGGGAAGGCAGAAGGGAGAGGAGGTGTTGGTCTATGCCTAATTTCTAGCAGACTGTTTTCTAGTTTTCATATCATTTGTTGCATTTTTGTCAGTCTTTCCATTAACTGTGGTCTGTGGGTTTATCAAATACTGGGTGACTTTCTTTGTTTGTCTCTGTATGCAGTGCATTTAATTTCTTCCACTGATCAGCATCACTTTTTATTAATCAGTACCAACACTTTTAATGATTACTGCTTTGTAGTAAAGTTTGAGTTCCAGTATTGTTAGACCTCCCCTTTCTACTTTTTCCATGATTTTTTGGGAAATTCTTGGTTTTGGGAGAAAGTCATTATTTAATCCTCTTGGAAAATTGATGAGATGAAAAAATTCACAGGATTGCATGAACAGGCACATAAATACTTAAATAGCCCATTAGACTCCTAGATAGAAGGTAAGGATACTTTGGGGACTTCTGAAGAAGCAATACCTGTGTTTGAGCAACTAAAGGCAGTAGCAGAGAGAGGCTTCAAGGTTCAGACCTCCTGCTGCCTCATGGTGTGGCTCATCTCCATGTTCTCCATGCTATGGGTCCAGTTTTCCTTCTTCAGAAACCATGTTGTTGATCTTCTGTCTTCTCTGAGAAAGGAGGAAATTTCCTTCCAGGAGCCTAGTGCCCAAACTCTCAAACTTGGGAACTCTCAGACTTGGGGTTATTTATAAACTTAACTCAAACATTGGTGCTGTCCAGGAAATCTCTCTTCTCTGGCTAAAAAGAGAGAGAAGAGAGTGAGAGAAGAAAAGAAAGATCATGAGATGAACCTTATAGTTCACCACTTTAGTGGTTAAGATTATGTATGTGCCAAAAAAGGAGAATGAGAATAAGCAGTTGAGGGTGGGATGAGATCCAAGAGAGTGCTATCATGATATCAGGCTGGAAAATTAGTCAACAGTATTAGATGCTGATGAGAAGCCATACTTCATAGAGCTAGAAATCGACAATTTTTGGGTATGGACTAATATTTCTTTAAAGAAGATTTTTGGGGGCAGCTAGATGGCGCAGTGGATAGAGCACCAGCCCTGGATTCAGGAGGACCTGAGTTCAAATATGAGCTCAGACACATAACACTGTGTGATCCTGGGCAAGTCACTTAACCCCATTGCCTAGCCAAAAAAAAAAAACAAAACAAAAAACCAACAAAAAACAAACAAACAAAAATTTTCCACGTTATTTTTAACTATTTTAAATGCAATTTCTATTCCATTCTGTTTTCAGTACAGTAAAAAGGTTTGATTAGGAGTCAGAGGACTTGGATTCAAATATTGCCTCTGTAACAGATTAGCTGTGTTTCCTTGGGCAATTCACTTAACTTCCCTTGGCATCAACTTCCTAGTATGCAAAATTAGGTGGTTGGACTAGATGACCTCTGAGGTTCCTTCCCATTCTAAATCAATCATCCCATAATTTTACTTTATGATATCTCAAAATTGACATTTAGAAGTTTTTTTAATATTTATAAATTTCATTTTCAAATGTTACAATATATGGAAATATTTGGTGTATGTGTGTTTTGGAACTTTATTTCAGGATGCTAAATTCTAACTTTGTTTCAGCCTTACATCTGGTGGAAGTTCAGTGATGGATACACCACAAAGAAACAGAATAACGGTAAGAAATGGTACTTAACTAGGCCTTTTAAAATTATTCCAATTATCGTATATGTAACTTATCACAATTTGTTTAGCATTGAAACTACCCAAATAGATCTGAATTGTAAATTAATTATTAACAAAGGTGTTCTAAACAGAACATGGAGTACTTGAACAAGTAGAATGTAGAGGCCATTAAGGAATGAGAGTAAAAGAAACTATTATGAACCCGTAATTTTCTTGATTAGCAAACCCTGAGCTGAGACTCTAACTTAACAACTTCTTTGAATCTCCTTCTGAGCTCCCAATTTCTTCATACTTCTACCTCCATACCAAGGCTACCTACTGTCTATGAGTGGTCACTATACTCTTATGAGAGTTTCACCTTTTAGGCCTTTAGTTCAGAGTCATTATTTCCTAATGAGAACACTTTAGAACATTCATAAACATCTCAACAATGTTTATTGTATTTAAATTGCTCTGACCCCAGTCACCCAGGACATGTCCCTAAATCCATAGTAATGCAGGGAGAAGGGCTTTTTGCCTGAAAGATGCATTTTAGAGTTTCAAAATATAATTTTAATTGGAAATTTGTGTTTAATCTCTTGGAAGTCATTTAGTCTCATGTTTTTCAGTCTCTTTTTCCAGGTTAACAAAGTAAAATTCAATGCTGCTAAAGGGAGAGTTCATTTAAATTTCCTTAATTTATGCTTTATTTCTTTCCCCATGACCTATGTGATGATCATAGCTAGATGCTTGTATGATTAGCTGGTATTCTCAGACCACTGGTTAAAATGCAATTTCAGAGCAACCCTTCTATTGGCTATCTTAAACCAGGGAAAAGTGCTAATTATAGCATTAAGAATTTCTGCCCAGGGCTCCCAATTTACTTCCTGGAGTTTAGTGTTTTATTCCTACCGGTTTATATTTGAAACTGTCATTAACCTTGAGGCTTGAAGTAACTTTGCTGCTTTAGTTCCTGTCTTTTTTCTGTTTCTGAAATAAACAATTTGGACAGAAGTTAGTACTTGAGGCCTTGGGTCCATACCAACCTAAAATTATTACTTCCTCACATAATTTTTTTGTTGTTGTTGTATAATTCATGGAAAGGTCACTAATAAGAAGAATAAATTGGGATTTTAACTGTCCATCTTCAGAGTATGATGAACAGAATGACTTGATCTTATTTATTCCTTTTCAATGACTGTGTGCTTTTGAAAATAATTCCATTCATACATAGAAAGAAAGAAAATAAATTCCATTTCATTTTATGTATGATAGAGGCTTAAGAAATTCCAAGAAGATTAATTCATAGGAAACCCATTTAGATATATCTCTCTACCAAGTCCACGCTTATCTATTTTTAGCTGTCTAAGAGCAAGTAACATAGTGTGTTAAAAGGGAAATAATAGTGGACCTGGAGTCAAGAACCTTGGGTTTCCATCTTCTATTCACCATTAACTAAGTATGTGATCCTGAGTAAGTCTTACAATTTTTCTAGGCTGCAGACTTCTCATTTTTAAAATGAGGAAACTGCACTGAATACTTTTTATGATGGTCTTTAATGTTATCTCTAGCTCTAAAATCCTATGATTAGAGACTTTTTTGTACTTTTTCAGGTGTTTATGTTGACATTATGTGTTAGAGAACAGTTGATGACCAGAAACAGGATTCGTCTAAATTTGCTTTGGAAATTTTAAGGACATTTTTTCTTTTAAAAAGTTAATTTTTGTTTTTTTTAATTAATGAGCTTTAGAAAATCAATCTGTCACTCCCACTATGACCCCCAATTCACACTGGGAAAAAATCAAAGAGAAGGATAAAGCCTTTAATACATAGCTATGTAGTTCAGCAGAACAAATCCTCACATTATTCATGTTATATGTGTATGTGTGTGTGTGTGTGTGTGTGTGTGTGTGTGTGTATAATCTTTCTGCATTTTAAATTCATCACCTCTCTCAAGAGGTCAGTGGCATGTTTCAGTTTCATTCTTTTGAAATTATTGTTTATTGTTGCATGATCACAATTCTAAAGTCTTTTAAAGTTGTTTTTCTCTATGTTATTGTATAAGTTATTTTCCTGTTTCTACTTATTTACTTCCTATCAGTTCTTAGAGATCTTCCCAAATTCCTGTGAAATTTTCCATTTCATCATTTCTATGGTGCAATAGCATTCCATTATATTCTCTTATTATTAGTGCTTTGAATATTTTTCATATGATTGTTGATAGCCTGGATTTCTTCCATTGAAAACTACCTGTCCATATCCTTAACTTACTGGGGAGTGTTTCTTAGTGTTATAAATTTGAATTTCTTGCTTATATATCTTGGAAATGAGAGCTTTATCAGAGAAACTTGTTTAAAAGATTCTGTCCCAGTCACTTTCTTCCATTCTAATTTTAGCTTCATTGGTTTTGTTTATGCAAAAAATTTTAAATTTTATATAATCAAATTGTCTCTTTAATCTTATGTTATCCTTTCTATTACTTGTTCATTCAAGAACTCTTCCCCTACCTATAGGTCTGCATGGCAATTTCTCTCTTACTCCTCTGACTTATTTGCAATATAGCCTTTCATATTTGAATCCTGTATCAATTTGGAGCTTATTTTGGTGTGTGAGGTTTTGGTCTACATCTAACTTCTGCCAGATCACTTTCTAATTTTCCTAGCAGTTTTAGTTGAACAGTGAGTCCTTTCCCAGTAATTGGGGTCTATGGGTTTAAGGAACACTAAGTTACTACATTCATTGATTTTTGTTTCTTGTGGACTTAATCTCCTCCATGGATCAACCTCTTTTTTTTGTTGATCAAAAACATTTTTTTTTTAAGATTACTGTTTTGTAGTGAAGTTTGAGATCTGGCATTATTAGGCCCCCTTCCTTTTCCTTTTTTTTCATCATTGTCCTTGAGATTCTTGACCTTTTTATTACTCTAGATGAATGTCATTGTTATTTTGTCCAGTTCTATAAAATATTCTTTTGGGAGTTTGGTATGGTACTAAGTAAATTAATAAATGTAGATTGTCATTTTTATCATATTGGTACAACCTTACCCATGGGCAACTAATTATTTGTCTATTTTCATTTCTGTGAAGAGTATTTTATAGCTATATTTATATAGTCCCTGGGAGAATCTCAGTAGGTATACTCCCAAATATTTTATAGATTCTGTAGTTATTTTGGATGGAATTTTTCTTAACTCCTCTGGCTAGGTTTTTTTTTTCTTATGTGTAGAAATACTACTGATTTATGTGGATAGAATGCTGAACTGAGAGGTTGGAAGAACTGAGTTCATGTTCCACCTCACAAGCCTACTTAGTTGTGTGACCATGAGCATGTCACTTAACTTCTCAGCCTCAGTTTCCTCATCTGTAAAATGGGAATAATAATAGCACCAATATCACAGAGTTGATGTGAGGGTCAAATGTAAAACACTTTGCAAGCCTTAAAGTACTATATAAATGCTAATTATTATTATTATTATTACTATCTTGCCACTTTATTGAATCTATTATTTAAGTAATTTTTATGTTGACTCTGTAGTTTCTAAGTACACCATCAATTACCTGAAAAAGCAATCATTTTGTTTTCTCATTGCCTAAACTTTCCTCCTCAAATTCTTTTTCTTGTCTTTTTGCAAGAGATAGCATTTTTAGCTCTATTATATACAGTAGTGGTGATAAAGAGAATGCTTTCTTGACTCCAATCTTGAGGAAAAAGCTTCTAACTTTTCTTCACTACATATAATGTTTTCTTTTAGATTTACATTAATACGGTTTACTAAGGAGAGGTCCATATATTCCTATAATTTCTGGAATTTTAACAAAAGTGAATGTAGAAATTTGTCAAAAATATCTTTAGCATCTATAGATATAATCATATGGTTTTAATTATTTATATTATTAAAATGACTTATTATATTTATAATCTTCATGTTGAATCACTCCTGCATTCCTCATATAAACCCACCCTAGTCATAGTGTAATATTTCTAACATATTACAACCTATTTGCTGGTACTTTATTTAATATTCTAATTCAATATTCATTAGGGGTAGTGGTCTGTGGTTTTCTTTTTCTGCTTTGTCTCTGCTTGGTTTAGATATAAAGATACACACACATATAATCATAGAAAGAGATCAGAAAGGTACATTCTCTTCTTATTATAAGAAACTTATATGTATTAATTGTTCACTTTTAGTTGTTAATTAATTGTTCATTTAATATTTGAATGAATTGACTTGAAATTCATCTGATCCTGGAGTTTTTTTCCCCTTATGAATTAATTTATCACTTTAAAGTTTTTTCCTTGATATTTTCCTTGATATTAGGTTATCTACATAGCTTACTTCTTTTGTTAGTCTGATTATTTTATATTTTTGCAATTTTTAATATGTTTTATTTGTTTAGTTAGTATATTACTAGGCAAAAAAGTTTCTGATACTTTCTTTTATTTCCTCTTTTATTGTTATGAGTTGTTTTTTCATTATTAATAAATAAAAATTGTTTTCCCTTTTTCTTTAAAAAAATCAGTTAGCTATTTATCTATTTTATTGTTTGTTCCTAAAAATCAACTCCTACTTTTATTTATCAATTCAATTGTCTTTTTGTTTTTATTCTTATTCATCTCTTCCTTAATTTTATAATTTCTACTTTGATGGTTGAGAATCTTAGATTTGTTTGAGCTTTTTAAAAATTATATGCCCAATTCTTTAATTTGTTCTTCCTATTTTTGTTGATAAAAACATTTAGAGTTAGAAATTATTTCCACAGAATTACTTTAGCTGTATTCCATAAATTTTGTTGTTGTCTCATTATTATCATTTTCTTTGATAAAATTTTCTATTATTTTTATAATTTGTTCTTTTACCTACCAATTCTTTAGAATGATGTTGTCTGTCTCCATTTACCTTTTAATTCTTTCTTTAAGGACACTTTATTGAATTTAATTTTTAATTGTAATATGGTCAGTAAATGACATGTCCATTTTTGCTTTTGTACATTTTTTTTTTTGGATGAAGTC